TAGCTTGTGAAGAAACTCAAACAGATAAAGGTGGCGACAGATAATAATTCATTGGAGATCTCAAAAAATACCATATTTTTTTTAGAGCTTATCCAACAACATTCAAAAAAAAAACTCAGGTTGTGACAACGAAATTTACATCAAATTTGAGAATTAGATACCAAAATCAAATAAAAGTGACAACGAAATTTACATCAAATTTCCAGATGAAAGTAGATAGCTTTTTCATGGAATTTACACTATTTTGCATCAATTGTGCAGATGAAATGTACATCAAATTTACATACATTTTGATGCGATCTTTTTGTTTGAGGAGGCAAGTCATACTGACGAAACATTTTCATAGAGGGGTTTCTGAATCCTGCAACCATCACGTTAATAAGACACAAAAAAACAAAAAGGGCCTGCAAAACCAAATTCAGATCGTTAAGAGAGCAACAAAATTGAATGCAGTATGAAGAATAGCAGAGATTCAATATCAAGCGCCAGCGGGAGATCTATTGAGAAGAGAATAATCGCGCGAAAATTATCTATTAGATCCAAGATCAAGCGCCAGCGGGAGATCTATTGAGAAGAGAATAATCGCGCGAAAATTATCTATTAGATCCAAGATCAAGCGCCAGCGGGAGATCGATCGAGAACAGAAAAATCGCGCGAAAATTATCTATTAGATCCAAGATCAAGCGCCAGCGGGAGATCGATCGAGAACAGAAAAATCGCGCGAAAATTATCTACTGGATCCAAGATCAAGCGCCCGCGAGCGGGAGATGGATTGAGAATCGCGCGAACGGGAGAGAGAAAGTAAGCACGAGAACGGAGGCGGTAAGAATAATCGCTTGAAGTTTACGACGTGAACTGTAATAGGGTTTTAACCCTTTTATTAACGACGTTTAGCATTTTTTTTTAAAAAAAGAATCGTTGTAATTTGCTTAGATTAATGCCCTGATGCCCTTAGGCAATCCCGGACTAGTATGATCTGTACTTTTAAAGTTTGAATTACCGAGTGTAAATTATTATAAAAGTAAAAGTACAAATTGCACTCATCAAAAAATATGATAAAATTATTTTATATTATGAAATTACCAATTAGAATATAGAAAAATAAAAAAATAATCGGGGGAGTATTCTCCGTCCGGAAAATATTCTTTACATTTGACTTTTCTTGGTCAAAGTTTGTAAACTTTGACTATGATATGTGAAAAATACATTATATTACGATATAACTTTAATATGAATATATTCATTTTGGAATATAGTTTTCAAATATCAAATTTTTATAAAATATATTCATGTATAAATAAAGATATTAGTGGTCAAAGTGCAATCTTGGAGACCGTAAAAAGTCAAATGGGAAGAACATTTTCGGACGGAGGGAGTAACTAATAACAATTTCAAATATTGTGGGACAAAACGATTTCTAACTCTTATCTTATCTTAATATATACAAGGACCGTGCTACAGTGCACCCGCCCTTGCCTTCGTTGCTGTCTCCCTATTTAAGCTGTTTTTTACCTTTTCTCCTTTTTTTTACTTTTTTTTCTTTCCTCTACGTCGCTCTGGCGGCTCTGCTCTTCCGCGCCAGCCAGACCAGAGTTCTAGTAAAACCGGGTTACTTTGTAAAATATTATTTATCTAAAATTTATTCTCTTTTTGATAACTTAAGAGAATTAAAAAAAAACGTTTTTTGCGTAAGCTTAAAGTAAAAACATCCACAGTTAATACAACCTTGGGATCAAGCCCAAAAAAACAATGTAAATTAAGTTCGACGTTTTATTCATTATTAAATATTAAATAAGAACTTCTTCGGCACGGCCTCCACGTCCAAGCTTTCCTCCCCAGCAGTTGTTTTCTTTGCTAGTACCTGCGTGCAGTTAAACACTACACGCTCAGAATAAGCTGAGTGGCAAATAACCAGCAGACATATATATATATATATATATATATATATATATATATATATATATAACATGTAAATATATTTTGGGCCTTTTAAGTTATTTAATTTACTTCAAAAAGAAAAAAAACTTTTCGCATAATTAAAAATCATCGAGGAAATAATTTCATTTTGAATAGTTACTCGGGGACATTTAGAAAAAACTTTTGACTACTAGGTTAACCACAGATTAAAAACTAAGCCGTGACTAGGCTGAAACACCGCATTAGTCGATTTGTAGTTTTACTTTGGATACCTCCCCATGACCTCGGGTCCAGAAGTGAACCCTAGACCCACAGGGTTATCGTTAGGTTCTCGTGCGCACGTTGTGGTATGATTATTTATAGGCTCATCCACATGGACAAGGTCCGGCCTTGAAAGTGGTTTGACCCACTTGATAAAAACGTGACGGTACTTGGTCAGAGTTTGTCGATATATAACTCTTGAAAACTTCATCCACTAAATGTTTGGTTAACCCTAGTACGGTCATTTAAATAAACTATTTTTTGTCGTTTTATTCATCTCTAACTTGCATAATTATTAACGGTGGGGTTCTAGTGACACTGGAAAACGGTGCCACTAGCGGTGTAATTGACGGTTTCTACCCCCCATAACCCACCCCCTAAACCCCCCACCCTACCCCCACCCCAACCCCGCCGTAAGCCCCCCACAAAATGTGTGGCTATTATGCATTGCATAATAGCCACACATTTTATGGGGGGCTTACGGCGGGGTTGGGGTGCAGGGGTGAGGGTAGAGTGGGGGGTTTAGGGGGTGGGTTATGGGGGGTAGGAACCGTCAATTTTACGAACGGAGCACCGGAGGTGCCCCAAAAACCTAGTGGCACCGGAGTGGCACCGTTCTCCGGTGTCACTAGAACCGAACCGAATTATTAAAGTCCCCTTTGAACCAATCATCCATTTGTTCCATAGAAGAATAAAACTCTACTTGACTATCAAAAGTGTCTAAATTAATATACTTAAATTTATCAATAAAACACAACAAATATGTGAATCATTCTTAGGTCGTCAAAAAAAACCTCATTTCTCTATTTATTCGCAAGTCCAGTTACAAAAGAAAAATAATTATTTATTTGATTCCTTATCAAACTACGGCCTTCGTATATAATCAATTTATCTTAATTATATTTTGATTTAGTTTTCGATGCATTCGGCCCAAACAATAAATAAAACGGCAAATAGGTAAGTAATTAGTAAACAAGATTTAGTAAACAAGATTGAAGCAACTAGTATTATAGAATAATGTAATATAAATGGTTCAATACAAAAAATATTTTTTTTAAATTTCTCACTTTAATATTTTGGTGCCACTCCACACACAAAAATCAATTTCTTTCAATCGAACTTGTCTCAATTTTTTTTGTTTGCAAATACCGTTGGCCCAAGCTGTACGGAAGAGAACAAAAACTTTTTTTTTCCACCATTTGTCAATTGTTTCTTTTTCCATATTGATGTGTTTGCATTTTTTTCTGTTATGTCAAAAATATATCCGTGTACTACACCAAGAGACAAGAGATTACACATTAACATGCACAAGGTTTTTTTTAAAACGAAACCAAGTTCTGAAAACATATAGGTAACTTCATTATTCCAGTATTGGTTTGAACAAGACGAAAGATTTAGATTTATGAAAATATAAGATGAAATGTACAAAATATATCAACATGGAATATATGGCTAAAGATTAGGTCAACACTGGAATAAGCTAACCTCTCCACCACTCTTGAAGCTACCCTCTTCAAGCTAACCTCTGCACCACTTGGACCGAAGGAAGTACCCTAAGAGCATCTCCAACCATTGAGTTTTGGCTTGTTAAATATTATTATTTGGCAATCCATTTCAATTTTTGTGCTCCAAGGGGCTTGCTATAGTATAGCATACTTGGTAATGTTAACTTTGGCTTGTTATATATAACAAGCTTCTCAAAAAATAGCAAATCATGAAATTGATTAAATATATGATTTCTCTCTTCTTTTCTCTCATTCTCCTTCTCAAAATATAAAGTTACTTCTACTCTCTAATTTTTTGTTTTTGTAAATTTTTTTTCTCTACTCTTTAATTGGTATTTATTAAATATTTAAAATAATACTCCGTATATTTTATTATTTTCCCTAAAGTACGTAAAATAATACTCCGTATTGTTTTTTGAAATTATTATTTTTAAATTACATACTTATTACTAAATTTTTATAATATAAAATAATAATTGAATAATTATTATAAAGAGTGTATTATAATACTCCCTCCGTCCCATAAAACATTTCCTGTTTCAAAAAAGGCGCATCCTTAAAATGAGTAATTTTGGTGTTATTTTCTAACTTTTCCCTTACTTTATAAAAGAGTAGGATGAGATG